TAATGTATAATAATATATGAGGGGATAATAAATTTAATCCAATTACTATATATATATATATATATATATATATATATATATATATATATCCATTTTTAACTTTTTTTTTTCTTTTTAAACTTCTCACATTCTACATTGTTTTTAAATTCTATCATTTTTACTATATTATCATCCTCATTTCCTCCCATATTCTATTTTATCTTTATAATAAGTAGTCTTCTTTTATAGAATACTTTATTTTCTATTTTTATTATTTATTTTCTTATAATTTAAAATAATTAATATTATTTTAAAATTTATTTTTATGATTTTTACTATAATAAATCAAATTAAATGGTTCGATAATATCAATTAATTAAAATCATCACATAAAAAACTTAGATAACTACATTAAAATTATTAATTTTAAAAATATAAAATATATTTAAAAAAACTCATATTATAGATTGGAAATAAAATAGAATAAACAAATACTCTTTACTTTATATTATATTTAAGTTGTGCATAAATGTTGACCTTCTTAACCATAAAGAAACAGTAGAAAAATATAAAGATAGTATTTGAAGAAATGAATTTTGAAGATAAAGACTATTTTTATATAAATTTATTCTAGTATATCAATTAACAATAATAATACATAAAATTTAAAAACTAAACTAAAAAAAGTAAGTTTAAATTTATAAAAAAATACATTACTAAAAGTATCATATTATATTAAGATTTTCATTATTTTCGTTAATTATAAATTTAAATGTGTTTCATAAATAAAATTATAAATTTAAATGTATTTCCACTTTTGATCCATCATAAATAAAAATAAATAGTCTCTTATAAATGTTTTTATATTTTAATTCATCATTAAATTTGTTTTATATACGAATTTGATGACTTATCATATTATTAAAAATTTGGATGAAATAATTATGTATAATATTTTTTTAGTATATTATGTTTTTAAATTTGCTAATAGAGAAAAAGTTTCATAATTCAAAATGTTAAATATTTTTAAATATTAAAATTGACTTTATAAAAAATTAGGAAAAAAACAATTAATCCAAAAATATAATAATGATAAAAATATTATAAAAAAGAGTTCAAAAATGTATTTAATATTTTCAGTTTTAGTTTAATTATATTTTTAATTCTCAAAGTAGAAAAATATATTTTAATTATTTTAATTTAATAAAATATAATTTAAATTTTTAATACTAAAATTAAAATATTAAATAATAATAAATATAATTCTTTAAATTTAGTATTTAAAAACTAAATTATAGCTTCTCTGTTTTAAAAAATTAAAATAAATATTTAAAAAATAAAAATAAGAACTAGTATTATCTTAAATTTATTAAAAATATAATTAAATCTCTATTTTCTTATGCAATTTTAGAAATTTTTTAATAAAAATCCAATATATAAAAAAGTTGAAATTTTAAAAAGGTACAACCTTAATTTATATTAACTATTTTTTTGAAAAAACTAAATTTTGAAGTTAATAATTTTGAAGTTATATAAGTGATGAAGTTTCCAAATGTGATCTATAAATTTATTGAGCAAAATTGGAGGTATGTTAAATATAAATTTAAATATATTTTTAATTTATTTAAATATGGTTTATTTTTAGTATTTATGAAATAGATTAATTTTAAATTTTTAACTTTTCTAGCAGTCTATTTTTAATCTTTGTTATTAATTATGTTAAAAATGAAAATATTAATTAGTATACTTAAACTAAAAAATATTTAAACTAAAGATAAATATATTTTTATTAATAATTTAATTAAATAATATATTTATTATCTAATGTATATTGATATAAATTTTTTTTGTATATCAATTATATGACAACAACCATGGTTAAGTAATTAGTATACTTAAACTAAAAAATATTTTAACTAAAGATAAATATATATTTATTAATAATTTAATTAAATAATATATTTATTATCTAATGTATATTGATATAAATTTTGTTTGGTATATCAATTATATGACAATCATGGTTAAGTAATTAATAATAATAAAACAATAAATTTAAAAATTAGATTAAAAATAAAGTATTATAAAATAAAATTGTAATAATTTCATTAAAATTGTAATTTTTTAATTAAGTTAATTAGGAATTAAAATGTGATAATTTGATGTGTTTAATTTTTTAATATAAATTTTTAAAATATAATTTAATTTCAATTCAAATTTTTAATTGAAAAATAAATTAAATAATATTTGTTATTAAACTTTTCTTAAATAATGTATTGAATAATTAATATCACTCTAGTCTTAATTTATTACAATTTAAATTTTTAATAAATTTCATTTATTTTTAATAATATTTTTATTTTAGTAATTTAAAATTAAAGTTAATCTTCATTTTATTAATATTGAGACCAAAGTTTATTTTTAAAGTATATTTTAAAAATTAAATTATTTTTCAAAAATAAATTACTTTTAAAAAGTAAATTGTAAAAAATATACTAAAACAATTAAAGTATATTTATAAAAAATAAATTTAAATATAATAAAAAAATAATATTCACTAGCGATCGATTTCAATTCGGTCGCTATTTTCTCATTAGCGACAAATATCAATTTGGTCACTATTTCAATTTGTAATTCGATCGCTAAATCAATCGCTAAATGATTTTTTTTATTTTAGTATGGAATAGCCATCGATTTAGCGATCGAAATTTTGCGATGCAAACTATTGGTCGCTATTTTGATCTCTAAATAAAAAATGAAACCAAATCATATTTCGATGGCTAAACCGGTCGCTAAATTGCAACCGAATTAACTCGGTCGCTAAATCGGTCGCTAATTGCGACCAAATTAAATCGGTCTCTAATTGCAACCAAAATTAAATCGGTCGCTAATTGCGACCGAAAAAATTTGGTTGCTAATTTTGGTCGTTAAATGTGTTTTTTGTTGTAGTGTAAATTCAGTTCACAAATTACAATCAACTCAGCAAAAAAACAAACTAATTTAAAAGATAATCATCTCTTTAGAAACTCACTAAGGATGAACACCTCCCTAGAATCCCACTAGGGATGAACACCTCCTCTTAACAAATCAAAGGATGAAAACACCTCCCTAAACAAATCAAAAGGATGAACAGTTTCCACACAGGAAAAAAAAAAAGCACAACAGAATGACAGTGATTACTTAAACTTTAAACAAGGAATTTAACAATCAACCACTTAAGCCCACAAAGGATGAAGGTAATAAAATAAGAACAGTCACACCTGGGTAATGGAGACAACAAAATGTAGAAGCCTGTAGAATGTCAACCTCCAAGAACAAGAATGAAAGCACAATAGGCAATGGAGAAGAGTGTTTTGGTAAAATATCTCTGTGACAATGGAGAAAAGGGTTTTCTCAAAACATGTAAAATATATCTGTTTCCTTGCTCAAAATTCTTTTCTCAAAATTGATTGAATGTAAATTGTATTTTGAATTCTATAATTTTGTGTTTTTTATTTTCCATCAAAACTTAATTAAATAGAAAAATAGCATCAGAAAATGGTCGTTGGACATTAATATTTTTGTGGATAAAAATCAGGATATATGCAAAAACATTTATTCTTCAAAATAGATATATTTTTTAATTTCAAACTGCCATAATCGATTATCTCCTCAACATAATTGATGCATCATAATCAATTTCTCCAATTCTGATGTATCATAATCAGTTATGACAGTGAAAAATGTCATGTTACAAAATTTTATCACACTTGTGGTTTGGAGACTTATGCATAATACCACTTCATCAACTTGTACCTCCATATCCAATATTCTAAAACTCTATCTAGTATTCAAGAATCATCTTGGGCTTGCTTGAATGTTGAATAGAATCTTTATCAAAAACATATCTTGGGCTTGCTTGAGTCTTGAATGTTGTTGACTTGAATCATCATCAAAATCATCTCTTAGGAATGTAAAGACATATTTCACATTGTCATCAATCTCCCCCTCGTTGCTTTCAAAAACAAGACTGAGACAATTATCTCTTCTTTGGGAGTCTTATTGCTTAAAAGACTAAAATCCTTCACTTGAATGAAAAAAAAAATCTATAAAAGAGTCATCTTCTCTATTATATTTTTACTTGATCGAATTATGCATATGTCAGCAAGTTTGCAAAATGTTCTGAGTTCCTAAGCACTTACAATAATCTTAACATTGTTTTTACTGTAATTTTCACTCAAAACTTTTTATGATTGTGTTGCGACTAAGGTCGTGACGATATGACAAAAAATATTATAAATTTTAAAAATGAACTCGTTACTATAATTTATTAAGCAAAAAGATAGAAAAACACTTTTTAAAAAATGTCCTTTAAAATCAGATTTGCATCGAGAAGTTGATCATACATATGAAATTTATTAACACTCTATAGCGTCTATTTTAAAACGATTATCCTTAGTTAAATGTGTAAAATAAATGTTATTAAAAAATATTATTTTCTCTTAAATATTAGATAAAGAAAGAAAAAGAAAAAAATATTTTATTTAGGCCTAACAAAAATTTACCTTGCTTGTACCTATTTTCATTAGTATTGGAAAATTATGTAGTTGTTTTAGAAAAAGTCAGCATGTTGGATTAATGTTAAATTTTTTATATTCTTGAAAGAAATTTGTATTCTTATTTTTATAAAAAGTTACAAAATATAAGATGGTAGATACCATTATACTATATATTTGTGAAAAAAAATATTATATATATAAATATTAGATAATATAGATGATCATATCTATATTTTACATTAATTTTATTTTAATTAATTAGACTTGTTATTTTAAACTTGTTATCATACATGTGTTTGACAAATTAAATTTTTTAAATAATACTAAATACAAAATTACATTAAAAAATACAAATAAAAGAAGTTACCAATACGTACACACAAGGTACGGTTGTTTTTGTCAAATATGTCATGGTCACCCGTATCTAAAAATTTCTGGGAACATGGGCATTCAGAAGAACTGCGGTATCCTTTAACAAACACCATGACTAGTATGTTCTCTTTCAATATAGCAATGATATGTGTATCCCCTACCGAATAAACAACTTTTTAAACAATCCATTTTTATTAATATAATAAAAAATTTAACAGTAAACCTTAATAATTTATTATACAAATTTTATAATTTACATTATTTTGAACTACAAACTTTATTATTATTATTATATGTATATTTATAAATTTAACATTTTATCATTTTATATTTTTTTATTTTTATATTTATTTATTATATATTAATAATATATTATTTGAGTTATAAAATTAATAATAAAAATTATTATTAGATAAAATGATTTAATAAAAATAAAAGTAATTTTAAAATTATTATTATAATATTATAATTAGTTGTATATGGAATGTTAATGGAATGTCGAGGTGAAAATAATTTTTTCCGTACATATAATATTAGAAGGGAAGTGATATATTGACACGGCAACCCAAACATTTTTCATTACAATCCGTATTTATTACTTAATAAAATTAAAAATAATTTTAAATTCTTATTATAATATTATAATAATAATATTATATGTCACTTAGTGTTTTTTTTTTAATCTCTATCTTGTCTATGTAATCTTCTACATAGAGAGAGGATAAGAAAAAATGGAGAAAGTCAGAAGATAAATGTGGAGAAGTTATGAAAAAAAGGGTATGAACATGGACAAAAGGATAAAAGAGTTGAGTTACATAAGGAAAACTTGGGTGTGTAATTATTGAGAGGGAAGGAGGTGGAATGCGAAGATATTTTTTTATTTTATAAAAAATATTTTATTTAAAGTAAAATATCTATTTTTTAATAAAATACTTTTTTTATTACTTTAATTATCTTAAACGTTGACTGATTGGACTAATCTAATTATTTTTCCTCTAACCTAGACTCGTAAATAAACATTTTACCTAAATTATACCAAACATAACTCAAAATATTGGTTGAAATTAATTGATTAAAATATATAGTATTTTATGTTTTTAATTTTATCTTAAAATGATGAATAATATTTCATGAAAATTAAGAAAAAGAAAAAGTAAATCTTTTATCAACATTAATTTTAAGAAGATTAAAATACATTTTAATTTTTTAAAAGTGAACGTGTTTTAATTTTAATAATATTTTTATTTCTCTAATATTTGAAATAAGTATTTTTAGGTTTAAATATCTTTTAAGTTTTCGATATACTTTTCAAGCATTTTTGCGCTTGATCTCTATTTTTTTTTTTATTGGTTGCGATAAAAAAAAAAAAAAAAAAAATATATATATATATATATATATATATATATATATATATATATATATATATATATTTGTTTTATCCGTTACATGAGTGTTATATGGTCCTTAAGGTTGAAAGTTATTAATCTGTTTTACAATTTTTTTTAGTTTAAATATTTTTAGATTTTTTATATATTCTCTATCACTTTTTTTTGTTCTTGATTCTTAAAAAATAAAAAATTCTGTCCCTATTAATGGTGTACTTCTTAAAGTTCATGTAAAAAATAAAATATATTGGTGGGGATGTCACTAATGTGGGCAACACATACGAGAATAAATGGTGATATTTTGAATTAGTCGAGACCAAATTAATTTTTTTTATTGAAGATAAAAATAATAAGAAAAATTATAAGGACATAAAATTTAGAGAATATACTATGATATAAAATATATTTAAGCATTGTTTTTAATTAAAAAAACACTTAAATTTTAATTTCAAACTCTACAAGAAATTTTAATATTACAGACGGTCAAAATCCGTCGGAAATATTTTTATTATTTATTAAATATTTTACTTATATAACTTATTTATTATTTTTCCCTATTACATTTTTATAGGCTTTAATTATTATTAGATTAAGAGAATTGTCATTGGCTACCTTAGAGTTAGAGATCGATACTCCAACCATTAAGCTACTGAATTTTTTTTATAATAATTTACAAATAAATTATATTTATATATTTATATATTTATATATTTATATTTTTATATTTTTATATTTTTATATATTTATATATTTTTATATATTTATATATATATATATATATATATATATATATTTATATATAATTAAATATTTTTATATATTTTTATATAATTAAATATTTATTTTTTAAAATTATTTAATTTAAGAAATTATTATAAATTAATCTAATTATGATTAAATTAAATTATTAAATAAAAAATATTTAATTTTTTAATTAGTTGAATATTTACTGATTGTTAATTTACCGATCGGAAATATTCGTCTGTAATTTACGAGATGGATTTACCGATGGATATATCCGTCGTTAATTAATTATTAATTTATTGACGAAATTACCGACGGATGTATCCGTCGGTAACTAATTATTATTTTACCGACGGATATATCCGTCGGTAAGATCAAATTCCACTAATATTTTATATCCGTCGGTAATTTTCGTCGGTAATAATTATTTTTCGACGATTACAAATTCATCGGTAAATATCCATCGGTAATACGTGAAATTATATAAATTATTTTGTTTTTGACTTGTATCCTTCAATCATACACGTATATGCAATTAGATGTAAAGTTTCCATAATTTCTTTTGCATCCCAAGAATTTTTGGATATGATTGATGATAATAAACTAAATAAGAAAAATGTTTGCACCTCATTTCATTATTGCAACAATTTCATTATATTTCGTATGTATTTAAACATGCGTAGTTAAAATTTGTATGTACAATCAATAAAAAACATTAATTGTTATAATTTATAATATTTTCTAATAATATCTTATAATTTTATTTTATTTTTACAAAAATTACTCATAACAATTTATCTTCTTTTTTAATAATAAAATATCAGTTTTATTTTCTCTTTTCTTTATAATAAAGTATCCGTTTTATTTTCTCTTTTGAATTTATTTCTCAATTTCAGAAAAAAAATAAGTTTTATTATTTGATTTTTATTTTAAAAAATTTCATTACAGAATTTTTATTTGAAAAATTATGGAATGTTTTTTTTGCTTCTAAAAAAAATATTAATATCCCTCATAATTGTATTCTATATATGTTGAATTTTACTTAAAAAAATCACTACTCTATATATATGATTATGAAAAATAGACTATTATTATCATCATAATAAATTTTTTTGAGAATTAAATATTTTTTTATTAATTAATAAGAAATTAGATGAAGAGATGACAAATTACATGTTCACCGTATTAATGACTAATTTAAGAACAAGTTATAATTCATAAAGTCTCATAAAACAATATTTTAATTCTTTTTAAATTTTTTAATAAAATATTAAATACCCAATTAATTATTAAAAAAAAAAAACTAGTCGTTTGAAAAATGAGGAAGAATAAAAGTGAAAAACAGCTAATGGCTTTGTAATCATATTTAATTCTCATTGAATTCAATTGTGAAGAAAATGATTTGAATACAACATAATAATAGTCATAGTATAAGTTCCACGCTTTCATTCTTATCTTTAATAAAATCCATTAGTCTTCTCAATCCGGTGTGCTACGAAAAAGTCCACCTCACTCTGCAGCTCACGGTTTTTCACACAGCCGTATATATATTAACCACAGAGGATCGGGTTCAACTCATATTTCAATCTTTCGCGTTTCATTAGCAACAGTTTCCATTCAACTCATATTTCATTAGCCACAGTTACGTGAAGTGTGGGCAATAATGAAGAGAAAGAGCGAGAGCAAGCTGATGAGGATCGTAGGATCGCCGATAAGAGCGTTGGGAAAAGCGAGGGACATGTACGTGCGAAGCATAACCAACTGCGGCCAGCGCGTGAGCTACTACGGCGATCCCATGGAAGGTGCTGGAAGGTTCTCCAGGAGCCACAGCGTGGCCACCGCGTCGGCTAGGTCCGAGGTTAGCGACGAGGATTACGCGGAGCTGGTGAGAGCCGCGTCGGCGAGAACCACGTTGGCGAATCGAATCAACGTTTCGAAAGTGTTGCCGAAGTCCAGCAGCGTCGGGATGGGGAGGATCGACGAAGATAAAGCGTTTGAGTCTGAAGGAGGTGTGGGTTTCGTGACGGATCTGTATCCGAGGAGTAGAAGCTACGCTGTGGCGAAGAGCAAACCTGCTTTTGAAAGCGTTGTTGCGGTTCACGTTCCCAACGTTGGAATTCAAGCTAGGAAGTAAAATCGCTTGAAGTTAGATCAGATAGTGAGATCGAATTTGTGAGAATCTTTCTTTCTTCTTTTTTCCTTGTGTCTGTGCCTCTTGTTTCGGATAATTAATCGCAGTATTGATTTTATTGGTTGTGTGATATTTGGCAGATATTTTGTTGCAAATATAAGAATTTTGGCTTTTTAAACAATTAGAATTCCTTGACTTTTGTTTGAGAATTTAACTTTACATATAAATCCTGTTGTTGCGCTGATTTTAAAACTTAAAACATCATTCGGTTTCACTTAGTATTAATAAAATAGTCTAATAATTAAAAAAAATACTCAAAATAGTATTTATCACTACTCAATTTCGTTTAAAAAATTAAAATGATGAATAATTTTAATAAAATAAAAAGTATATTAAAAAATATTTTTTATTTAATTTGAAAAAAAAAGATATTTTATCCAAAATATATTTAAAATAAATAAATATCTAATAAAATAATATGCATAGTTTTAAATAAAATTAAGAAGGGTTATACTTTCATGTGAAATTGGAAATAGTTCCTCTGTCAAAGTTAACATAAAAATGATCCTTATACTTTTGAAATGATTGAAATAAGTCTATGTTTTAAACGGGGTTAAATATATGGTGACATATCTAACGTAAATAGTATGATTATTCATTATTTGACACATGTAATTATTAAAAAAAAAACAAAGCTCTTTTTAAAAAAATAGAAATTATTTAATAAAGACTATTATTTTTAAAAAAATAAAATTAAAAAGTAGAAGCTTTTCTTTTCTCCTCACGTACCAAAGCTTCAGCTTCGTCACAACCACTTTTCATTCTCTCTTATTTTCTCGTCACAATCACTTTTCATTCTCTCTTTTCATATCAAAGGTCTTTTCTTTCTTCCCCTTTCTCTGTAAAGGTTGATGAAGTCAAAGTGACTTTGAAGTTTTGAGAGTTTCATCGTTGTGGTTCTGATGCGATGATGACAGATGATATACCATAACTAGGGTTTTCATTTATGAAAATTAAGGTAGAGAAGTTTAAATGACTTATAAATGATAGAGAAGTTTATTTCTTTTAAAAAACTTTTAAATGTTATAAATGCGGATTTAAATGACTTTTAAAAGCTTGATACCTTTTAATTTTATTTAATTTTATTTTTTTAAATAATTACACGTGTCAAATAATGAATGAGTCATACCATTTCTTTTATACAGGTCAGCATATACTTAACACCGTTTAAAATAGGGACCTATTTCAATCATTTCAAAAATATAGGGATCATTTTTATGTAAACTATGACTGAGAGACTATTTTCAATTTCACATGGAAGTATTAAGACTAAAACCATATTTAACCCAATTAAAAAATACTCTAACTTTCCTCTTTCTTTTAACTTTTTCTTTTTTTTCTTTTTTTACAACTTCCACACTCTCCATATTAAACTTAACTTCTAGCTCACTATATCCATTTTCATCTTATAAACACCTTGTTCAATTTTCCTTCCACTCTCTCTATATAACGGTTAGGCTTACACAAGAAAAAAAATGACACCAAAGAAAAAATTGGCAGCACAACAAAGAAAATACGAGTAGATCCACACAAAGAGAGGAGGGTGAAAGCATTGACTTTAGGGGAAGAGAAAAAGACAAAATATATATATATAATATATATATATATATATATATATATATATATATATATATATATATATATATATATATATTTATGATTGCACGTATCATCTTATTCATCAAACTTTATTATTTAAAAAATATTTTAATAAATAAACCTTAAAAATCGTATTAAAAAATTATAATAAATTTAAAAGATAAATCATTTTAAATATATGTATGACCATATATGTTGTATCTTAAATTTTGTAATTTAACCATTAATTTAATAATAAATTATTTATTTTATATGTACGGTATCATCTTATATTCTTTATTAGGTTTGATTTTGTAATAAATCTTATATAAATCAAATATAATATTATAATTTATTCTTAAAAAATTATAATAATAAATAAACTTAATTATATCGATTTTGATGATTGTTGATCTAGTTGAGTTATACGTTGAAAAAGAGATGTTCATTTTAAAAAACATTTTGATATTTAAGTTAATATAAAGAAAAAGATAATAGAGAATTTTTTGAGATTATTTATAGAAAATAGAGTTACCTTGTACATATTTTAACGTCAATAATTACCCTATAAATATAATATCATGTATAATCCAATAATCAAGTATGTTAATTATGTATTATTATCCGAATATATATTTAAATTATTAATTAAAAGAATTTTTTTCATTAGAGAATCAATAAGAAAAATTACTTAAATAAATTTTTTTAATTTATTTACCTAATTATATCTATTTATTGTTTATACACCAAATTCATCAAGAAAAACTAAATTCGTCTAATATAATATAAATGTTTTCTTCTTTTTAGTTTCTTATTTCTCTCTTTCTTTATTTACTTCTATTTTTTTTCTTTTTTTCTCTCTTTCTTTCTTCACTCCATCTTATTATTCAATTAAAAATTAATAACAAGTATTTTTTTATTACTAAAAAATAAAAATATTTAAATAATTCAAAAATACTATAACTGACTATTAATATATTATATTTAAAAAATATTATATGATAAAATTGAGATGTTACAAATATTATTATTGTTATGTAATAATTATTAAGAAAAAAAATTAAATATTTATTTTAAAGTATATTTTTAATAAATATTTTAAAAAAATACTAATCTAATTAAAAATACTAATCTAGCTTAAAGACAAATATGATTAATAAGAAAAAATGTTTATCAACTTTAATATTTGTTTATAATATGAAAACCTTGGAAAATTGAAAATTATATATATATATATATATATATATATATATATATATATCACTACAAGAAAAATCGCTTTTAGCGACCGAAAAAATCGGTCGCTAATGGCCAAAATTCGATCAGCTATTCTATTAGCGATCGAAATTAGCGAACGAAATGGTTGGTCGCAAAAGGGCAAGTCGCTAAGTTGTTAGCGACCGATTTACATTTCGGTCGCTAAATAGCGACCGATCCGGTGGTTGCTAAAGTGGTCGCTAAATAATTTGGTCACTTATTCATTGGAGACCAAAATAGCGACCGAATTAAGTGGTCGCTAAATCGGTCGCTAAATCCGTGGTAAAGTTTTAAAAAATAGCGACCAATATATTCGGTCGCTAATATATTAATATAATTATTTAAATAATAATTAAAATCGGTCACTAAATTGGAGACAAAGTTAAAAATAATAGCGACCGATATAATCGATCGCTAATATATTAATTGAATTATTTAAATAATAATTTAAATCGATCGCTAAATCGGTCGCTAAATTTGAATTGTATATTATAATAAATTTGTAACGACTTGGTCACTAAATCGATCGCTAAATTAATAACAAAGTTAATTATTTTTATTTATTTACATTTTTAATTATATCAAGTTCATTAGACAACTTTTTTTCTCCAATTGGACACAATTGTATTACATAATGAATGCTTAGTAGTTAGTGGTTAAGATGCATTCTCATCCATGAAATGTGGACCAATTGGTAAAAACAATAATAAATTAATAATAAGATGACCTGAATAGATATTGGTGCATCCATATTTAAATTACTTTTTCCATTCCACTATCACTCGGGATATGAGTCTTGATCATGAACCAGAACTAGAGGTTTATTCCACAATTGAAGACTTCAAGCAACAATTATACCAACATGGAATACATGTCAAGGGAACACGAGATATATGACGAAGGGATCAGCAGTTAGAGGACCTCCAAAAAGGTGGAGAAGTTTGCATGAATTTTTCTTGAATGCTTGGGAAAGGTATATAAGGAAACCTTTTGATTCAGATACATTAAAATTTAAAATACTTCATGAACAAGTGATGGCTAGGAAAATTTAAGCTAACCGAAATAATCTGCATGTTCTCACCATGCTCCATCTTTTGATGATCTTGCTTCAAATTCCAACTCGATGGATCTCGCATAACTTCGTAAAACAATCAGTCCAGTGTACAATCTCACAAGATAACTCATTTTATTAGAAGTTTCCTCAAATATATCAATAAATACAACTGTAGCAGCTAGCTATACAAAAATAGAAGGAAAATAGAAAGTGAAAAAAATTTTATGGTGGGAATGTTATTATCACTTTCATGTTCCTTCATTACTGCCAAGTTATTCCTCATCTTCATATCATATTATCTTCTACCAAACATGTTCCTAATAACATAAAACAACTTAACGTAAAAGTCATCACTTAAGCAACAATGGTAGACACTGCAATTATATTAAATAATTCAATGTTGAATATTTGAATATGTGATGACAGACAACATAGACACGAGAGACATAAAATAAAATAGGCAACCTACCATAACTCAAGCAGCAATGAAAAACACTGCAATTATATTAAATAAATCTAATGTTGACCATTTGAATACTTGAAGACAACATAATAACTTACTATGCTAAGAACCATAAGGTCCACCAGAAGACTCACCTTCCTTACATTTAGGAACCATCAACTCACTATTAGGGACTAGTGCTAAGTCTTGGAGCCTAGCCTGAAACCAACTTTCAATCTAGAATTTCTCCAAAATAAAGGATTAATTAAAAACTACATAAAAAAAGGCACAACCATCTAAGAATATAGGAAAAGGAAAACATCAATATTTGAAGGATGCCGCACAGGAATGCACAAACATCACATTATCACATTCCAACACTCCTCAATGACAATACTTCTTCTATTACTGGAAAATAACCTAACAACCAGTGAAAAGCAGAACTCACTTGAAACTTCCAGCAAGTTTTTGGTAGAATTCTCTGTCCAATGATCCTCCCTTAGGTTCCTTCAAGAAATTCTCCATTTTCTCAATCTGTTTGTCAGAGCACAAGTTCAAATCATTAACAGGACATAAGACACCTTCTGCATTCTATAACCAAGGTTTTAAAAA